TCATATTTATAATCTTAATCACGGTTTGAAAAAATTGATATTCCTTGACTGATTTTCCACATTAAACTCCCTGATGTATAATTCAATGAATTGTTGAGCAAGTGACACTATTCTGTCGAATCAGACCCACCAATCCAATTTTTTTACCTGTCATTGATGGGGCCCCGTCTGTTGCTATGGCTGAACATTTATCAAAGCCTTCAATTCTGTCAACTGTTTTCTTCACAGCCTCATAGATGTCTTTTCCTTTTGTTGTTCCATAAAGAGGACAAATAACAAATAACTCCTCTTTACTGGTAAAATCATCAAAAGTAGTGCGCACAAATATTAACAGCTGACTAACATCGGTTTGATCAGTGCTTTCATCCAAACAAAGTGAGAAATATGAACTTTTCTTAACCAGGCTAAGCACAGATTTTTCTACTTGCTCACCCATAGCAACAATCCTTGTCAAGTGTGTACCAACGCAATTCTACCCGAATTTGCGTATAAAATACACGGTTCGTATATTACAAAATTAAACTTCAAAATTATTGAAAATCTATATTTGCCAGTTCCCAACAAAACATATCGCGTGCTTTTAAAAAATGATGTAACAAAATTATCACTTATAAGCATCAATCTGTACATACACAAAATTAAAAAATACTACGCCACGGATACATCGACCGTTCAGCCCTCAGAGTCTTAGTCAACTGTAAGAACCTCATCAATTTTTATTACAACACTTACGCGTTAAAATAAAGAAAATAAATTGAAGTGATGGCGATAAAATATAAGAATTATTGCCGACAAGTGGAAAGATTGTTATGATTTAAAAAGGTTTTATAGCTAAAGCTTTCGTTGAATTTTAATAAGAGATTTTGTAACTTCAGCATTCAACATAATAATATATGTGCATACAAACAAAATAATTATCAAATGGCTGTGACAATCCTTCTTTGTATGGTTTGATGTGAAAGTGGCACTGATTCAAATTTCTCCGCCATTTTAGAATCACCTAAAGTTTTGGCCATTTCAACAGCACATTTTGTTATAAAATTGCCATCAGTGAAAGGTTTTTTTGCCTTTGCCAGCTCAAGCGACACGACATAAGATACATGCAAATACTTTCATTTGTGTACGTAGGATACTTATTTTCATGCACTGTTGTGTAATGTCTTCTCACATTATATTCTTTAGGCACTGAAACGACATTCATGTACACTAAACACTGCAACTTTCCATTATTGTTAGCAATCAAGTAATCACTCTCCCAACTTTCTTTGTAAATTCTGTTCTCACTATCAATTTTCCGTTTTACTGGTTTTACACTGATTATTGTATAAGAGGAATCAAGCCAAATAATTAATCAAGGAGGTGTGGCCTGCGTGAACTGTGATACGCAGTAATCAGTGCAGTCCTCATAGTGGTGGAGGACGATTGTGTTCGTTACACTTTCGCGAAGCGGCACGCGGTACAGTACTTGTGATGTAAAAACACTGCTAAACCATAAAATATAAAATAAATTAAAAAATCTTTTTTTACAGTGGCAGTATTTAAAGAAAATATATGCTTTTCGAAAATCTTACGTGGGTCAACCCCGTGTTATATGAAAAGTTTTACGTAATGCGCGTTATGGCAACATCCATAAAAAAGACAAATAAAAAACCGTTTTCCCGTAAAATGTCGCTCGGAATGCATGAGAGGTGGTGGTGAGGGACTGCAATACAAAACTTATCCGACCGATCTTACCAAAATTTAGCACACGTTTTAAACATATTAAGAAGTTTTTCTAGGCGGAATATGGAGCTTGTAAGTCAAGTTTAAAAAATCGAAAACATTTAAAGGATTAACTTAATTTTTTTGTACTTTTTTTTCCAATTATTGCTATTTTTTCAACAATAAACATTAAATTTTCAATTTCTAGCTAACGAATTATTGTGTAAAATTAAATAACGAAACTTTTAACCTTTTATCATTTTTTCTCTAGGATCAATCTTTTCCGAATTATAAACGAAAATAGGAGCAAAAAAATGAGAAATTTTCAATTGTTTTCAGATTTTGTTAAAAAAAAATTTAGTACAGGGTTTGCGACTGGCGCATATCGTGACTATCGATACTGGGCACGTCCTTAAGGGATTCCAGCAAAAAATAGCTTCCTATGGAAAATGTCCAATCCAAAACAGATCCCGCCTAGACTATGTAGTTTGGCACCGATATCGAATAAGTAATTTTTAATAAATAAGCTATTTTATTGATTTTGGCAAATTATTAAATTTGAAGAATAAAAAATCATAAAGTTTATTACACTACGCCAACATACAGTGTTACAGTATTAGTTGATTTTGAATTGAACAAACAAAATCTGTGAAAATATGTTATACTATTAATAAAGAAATCCGTAATCATAGTATCTCAAAAACAGTAAAGACATTCTAGTCTGACAGCAGGGTACACAGATCACATTGTCTTCAGTTATACACAATATATGTATATATTATGATGACATACACAAACACAATACACATACACCCACATACACACATACACATACACCAAGTAAAAAATAATGCAAAACTCTCATGGTAACAGAAAAACACCGAAAAGAAATTCTTAGAGATGTAACGGAAACTAGATGGTTAAATAGGTATTCAATTTAATAGAATAATATTAAAAAAAATTAGTAACTGTTTCAAAATTGCTATTTCCTATACACTGGCTCCTTTCCTTGTAGCTTTAGATTTCCCATGGTAGCATCACTGTCATTTACCAACAATAAACACATGGGTATATCTATGTACGGCACGTATGTGATAAGATAATAACCATAATAAGAACAATGTTATCTTAGTTATTACTAATTTATATTACACAAACAAACAGTATTTTGTTTTAAAAACAAGGCTGTAATAAATAAAAAAAAATATTTTGACATTGAATTTTCATTGATAAAACATAGTCCTCAAAAGACTTTGAGTTTTGGCAACAAATATGAGGCATTTGAAATATACCTAAAAAGAACGGTGGTTTAAACTTTCATCATATAGACCAATTTCCCTCACTTGTTCACAGGCTTAAGATCAAATCGAAATACAATGGATAACTTGGTCACATTACACACTGACATTGTTAACGCATTTTCGAATAAAAGCGAAGTCATAGCAGTAATTTTAGATATTCAAAGAGCCTTCGACACTGTACAAAGGCCTCTAATTCCAAGAAAATTAACGGAATATAATTTAACTGGTAACATTCATTTATTTTTAAATTTTTTTTAACAAATCGATATTATAGAATATTAACAAGTGGAAAAATATCAAAACCACATACTTTGGACAACAGTTTGCCTCAGGGCTCAGTTTTAAGCACTACCTTACTTTTACTTAGCATGAATGACTTTTCCTCATATATAGAACCATCAATCAGGTACTCGATATATGATGATGATATATCGTACTGCCAAGGCAGAGTCACAGTTACCACCAACACTTTGCTACAAAATGCAATAATTCACTTTATCAAAAAGCATAGACCTAATCCACCTTTTATGATTCTAAACGGACTTCGTTTACAAATAGTTAATTATTTGACACTTCTTGGTATCACCTTTGATAAAAAGCTTATCTGGAGATAGCATATTCAGAAACTTAAAGGAAACTGTACCAAAGAATCAATTTACTTAAATCTCTTGCTAGCTTCTCTTGGGGAGCTGATGAAGAATCTCTCCTTAAAATATATAGAGCGTTAATTAGCTCTAAGCTAGATTATGGCAGTTTTCTTTATATGGCATCTAGTAGCTTCCTACTAAAGTCTCTAAACACGATTCAAAATACATCCCTACGACTATGCCTTGGTGTTTTCAAATCAAGCCCCGCTGAAATAACATTGTTTCCAAAACTCCAAAGAAAATTTTATAAAATGCTCCCTAACTAATACTCCCTTATAAGTTATAACCAGGTATATTAATGTTCTTACAGGATATTGACTCTTTTAACCATATTTCACCGAAAAATATCTAAATCATTTTCCAGAATAAGTTCTTTTACCTCAATAAAATGCGCAACTAGAGATCTAGAGTTTAAATGAGCACACTTTAAACTATTCATATTATGCTTAGATTAGATCACTACTAAATTGGTACAAACGATTATGTAAATAATTTAAACATAATTTGTAGATGATTATTATTTTCATAAACAGTAATTCACATTATCAGTGAAACTACTACAGTGAACACTGTCATCATCATCAATCAGCCCTGAGTTGTCCATTGTTGAACATAGGCCTCCTCTAGATTTTTCCATCTGCTTCTGTTCTGCGTCTCTTCTATCTAATTGGTCACGATTCTTTTGAGGTCGTCGGTCCATCGCGTTGGGGGTCTTCCTCTTCTTCGCTTGTCAGCCCGTGGTCTCCACTCAAGCAATTTTTTTGTCCAACTGTCGTCTTTCATTCTTACAACATGTCCTGCCCATCTCCATTTTTGCCTTGTAATATGTTCGCGGTTCGTCTACGAACTTCCTCGTTTCTTATTCTATTTCTTAAGCTTATTCCAAGCATTGATCTCTCCATCTTTCGTTGTGTCCTTCTCAATTTTTCGGCTGATGTTTTTGTGAGAGTTACGGTTTCTGCTCCGTATGTAAGGACTAGTAGAACGCACTGGTTAAAAGCTTTTCTTTTTAAATGGATTGGTATATTTGTTTTAAATACGTCTCTCATTTTTCCGAATGCAGCCCAACCCAGACTTATTCTTCTGAGTAGCTTGCATGTTTGGTTATCTCGCGTTAACCTTATTTCGTGACCCAAATACACATATTTTTCCACAAGTTTAGGGGCGACTTTTCGATTTCTATTGGCTCAAGTGACACTGTATTACTCTTTAATTCAAAACACGTTATAAACTAAGGATTACTTATTAGTAAATAAATAAAGATGTACAGTTCAGTTGTAGTTTAAGCGTAAAGAAAATAATCTGACAGTAAATAAATTCCATTCACTATTTAATAAATATAGTAACTTACCCTATACTTATCAACCAAGTACCAAAATTCTTGGGGATCAAAGCTGCTACACAATAACCTAGTAACTCCAGTAATTGCTGACATAAACAGTCCCACGCCTGAAGAGTTCCAGTAGAGAGAGCCAAATGTTAAAAAGCTTATAGGACCCTCCCTCATTTTCATCTCAAACAGTCTTCTGGTTGTATCCAAATCATTGTTTTTAGGTTGCGGCACAAGTGGAGAATGATGTAGATAATAATAATGATTTAGGCATATGCCTTTAGGAAAACCAGAAGTACCACTGCTGAAATAAATAATGGCTGTTTCCATGAGATCCTTAATGAATATTGGTTTAAAATCATTTTCTGATTCTTGCGGTTCTACAAAATCAGAAAAGGGCGTGAATTCGCTTGTTTCTCCAAAAACCACAATTTCGCTCTTTAGTTCCAATTTTTTAGCAAAGTAGTTGATTTCTTTTAGCGAATCCGTTACAGTGAAGATAATTTTTGGACGAACCGCAGATATTAGTTTCTCTAATTCTATGTTGGAAAGCGTTGGATCTAAAGAGCACGGAATGGCACCAATAAAGAATGAAGCAATGATTGGCACGCATGCGTCTAAGTGATTGTCAGAACAGCCAGTTACAATATCGCCTTTTTGTATTCCTTTCTTTTGTAGTACTATAGCAGTTCTAATGCATCTTTTTAAAAGGGACTCGAATGTATCTCTTTCTCCAGTTGTAGCCAGAATCTAAAATCAAATAGATGTACTAAATAAACGTATATAAATAAAACAAAAACGTAAATCAATCAAAACATTCCGAGCGATTGCCGGTATACGCGATCTCCCACTTACTGAACAACGGAATGCATATTGAAATAATGGTAACAGCAAAAATGAGATGGCCAGATTCTGGAGAAATACAAATAAAAGATCACAAGCTATATTACTCGGGAAAGAGTGATGGATCACATGAATAAGGAGTCGGAATAACCGTATCACCCAAGGTTGCCAAATCCATTACTAACTTTACACCAATATCAGAGAGAGTGATGTTACTACAAGTAGAAACCAACCCTATTAATATAAACATCATCCAAGTCTATGATCCCACTGCAGACAAAGAGAAGAAAGAAGCAATTGAGTTCTATCAGAACATCAACAGTATCATACAGAAAATTTCTCGACAAGAAGTTATAGTCCAAAGTATATTAGAGTCTTACTTTAACGAAAGCTACTGCCGAAAAACTGAGGGTAACACAAAGGCGAATGGAGAGATCGATGCTGGGCCTGACCTTGAAAGATCGCGTAAGAAATGAGGAGATAAGCCGACGAACTGGCGTAGACGATATTATACTGCGAATCAATAAACAAAAGTGGAGGTGGGCTGGACATGTTGCTAGAATGGAAGACGGAAGATGGACGAAGAGATTATTGGAGTGGAGACCAAGAGCCGACAAGCGAAGTCGAAGCAGACCACCCACTCGATGGACCGACGACCTAAAGAGAATAGAAACAAACTGGATTGCAGCAGCTAGAGATAGAGAGAACTGGAGACGTTTGGAGGAGGCCTATATCCAACAATGGATGTGAAAATTCGGCTGGATGATGATGATATTGGAGTCTTGACACAAGAATACTATACGCACCTATACAGAACAAGACATAAACCACAGCAAGAAATTCTTAAACAATTAAACACAAAAATAAAAAATATATACTCTGACCTACAACCAGAAATAAGTAAAACAGAAATCAAGAAAGCAATTCAAGGATTAAAAAACCATAAGTCACCTGGAAAAGATGGAATAACTGCAGAAATGCTGAAGAGAGGAGGGAAAACAACTAGAGAAGTCCTACATATCCCCATGAACAAAATATTGACCACAAAAGAAATACCCGATAGCTGGAACGATGCGGAGACACTATTAATGTTAAAAAAAAGTGACCGAAAGAACTTAGAAAACTATAGACCTATAACATTACTAAGTGTTGTATTTAAACTACTAACGAAGATCATGACAAATAGACTAACAACTAAGCTTGACGAATACTAAGCAAGAGAACAAGCGGGATTCAGAAAGGGTTTTAGTACTAGCGACCATCTGCTAACAGTAAAAATATTGATTGAAAAGTCGAACGAGTATCAAATCCCATTATACATGGCATTCATAGACTTCCGAAAGGCGTTTGACAGCATAGAACATTGGGCCATTAAAAACTCACTACAGAACGGCAGAATTGATTACAGGTACACGGACCTAATAACAAACATATACAAAAATGCGAGTACCACAATAAAATTGACGAACGAACACGCTACAGAACCAATAAAATTCGAAAGAGGAATCAGGCAGGGAGATACAATATCGCCAAAATTGTTCAAGCAGGCTATGGAAGACATATTTAAAAAATTAGAATGGGATACATACGGAATAAGAATAAATGGAGAGCTCTTGAACCACTTGAGATATGCAGACGATATAGTCCTGATAACAGATAAGAAGGAAGAGTTACAGAAGATGGTTGAGGAACTAGATAGAAAAGCGACAGAGGTAGGTCTAGAGATGAACTACAGTAAAACCAAGACTATGACAAACCAAGAAGACCAATTAGAAATAGTAGTCAAAGAGAATAAATTAGAGCAGGTGGCAGAATACATATACCTAGGACAGATAATAAAGCTGAACAGGGACAATCAAACAGAAGAAATAAAAAGAAGAACTAGACTAGCATGGGCCTCAGTTGGTAAACTATCATATATTCTAAAAAATAAAAAGTTCCCTCAATATATGCGAACGAAAGTATTCAACCAGTGCATTTTACCAGTTATCACATATGGCTCACAAACATGGACTTTCACAAAGGAGAACATCGACAGGATATCCAAAACACAAAGATCAATGGAAAGACAGATGCTGGGTATCGGTCTTAAAGACAGGAAAAGAAACTCATGGATCAGACAAAAAAACAAAGGTGAACGATGTATCAAGACAGGTTGCAAAACTTAAATGGAACTTTGCCGGTCACACTCTCCGGCAAAAAGATGAAAGATGGAATAAGCGAATTCTACACTGGAGACTATGGGAAAAGAAAAGAAAAAGAGAAAGACCACAGATGAGATGGACTGACGATCTTAAGAGAACGGCAGGAAAGGTCTGGATGCAGATCGCCCAAAATAGAGGCCAATAGATATTAACAGGGAGGCCTATGCCCAAGTGTGGGCGTTTAAGACTGATTAGATAGATAGATATTGGAGTGCATGGATTTGGAGTCAGAAACAAGAGAGGAAACCTCCTAGAAAAATTACCAGAAGACTCAGAACTAGTTGTCACCAACACATTTTTCCAATAATCACCTTGCAAGCTGTACCCGTGGAAATCCCCTTAAGACAGACCCGAGAGAATTATAAGGAAAGAAATTAAATATATTTTAGTAAATAAAAGATTCCTAAACAGCTTTACATCTGTCAAGACTTATCCTGGAGCAGACTTGGAGTATTTCGAGTCAAATTCAAACAGTGCAGAAAAGAAAAGCACAATTATACGACCTACGTATGCTGAAAGACCTTGATACGAGGATGAGAGTTCAAACCACGTTAAACGATCAAGTGACTGCAATTAGAGACGAATCAAACGAAGAACAATCGATCAAACGAGCCTGCCAGCTTCTTCAAGACCTTCAGAGCTCGTGTACATGAGTTGGACTTAAAATTAATTTTTTCAAAACACAATATATGACCAGCCTTGTACTGGCGAAAAACATCTCAACTAACGGCACGCAAATTAAACAGGTGTATAGCTATATCTGGGACACGAGATTAAATTAGGAAGAGATAATCAAACAACGGAGCTAAACAGGAGAATAGGACTGACATGGGCGGCTTGCGAAAAACTGAGAAAAGTCTTTAGATCAGATATTCCCATGTGCTTGAAAAGGAAGGTTTTTAATCAATGTGTACTCCCAGTTCTAATGCATGAAGCAGAAACATTGACCCTTACCAGAAAAGTAATCAATAAAATACAAGTGGCACAGAGAGCGATGGAGAGGTCAATGCTGAATATATCCCTCAGAGACACAGTATTAAATACAATAGTTAGGTGAAAACTGGTGTTACTGACGCAGTTTAAAGGATTACAACATTGAAATGGAACTGGGCGGGGCATGCTGCCAGATTAAAAGATGGAATGTGGACAAAGAAAATTCTGAAATGAAGACCTAGACACGATGCTTATCGTAATTGAGGACGTCCTCCAACAAGGTGGTCAGATGACATCAAGCGCATTCAGCACAACTGGATTCAGGGTGCTCATGATAGAATACATTGGAATTATTTACGGAGGCCTAAATCAACAAATAACAATAAATTTACTGAAAGAACAACTAGATTTATTTAAATATATGCAATTGGACGACCAGTCTCCATCTACTCAACAAAATATGAATTTAATAAACCATTCTAAAAGAGACCTCAATCTTGAACGACCGATACAGTCTACCAGTAACGAATACCCAAAAAACAAAAAAACTACGTCCGCAAAAATTTTTGCTGTTAATGAAAGTCTAGCTATTGAGAACGAAAGGAGTTCCCCAACAAAAACTGTATTTAAAAATGTTACCAATAAAAATAAACAAGTTGTTTCCTTAATCAAAAATAATTAACAATTATCAGCTGATATTTTAAGAATACAAACAGAAGTAAAATGTTCAGATATTATTAATTTATATATATATATATATATATATATATATATATATATATATATATATACATATATATATATATATATATATATATATATATATATATACATATATATATATATATATATATATATATATATAATATATATATATACGAATTTCTATCACTCCATTGTTCTTCGGTCAAGTCTCGGGAGCTCATTGCCTTTGTTATTCCCTTCTTCCATGTTCTTTTAGTCTTCCTCGTTTCTTACGATTTGTTGGTATCCATTTCATGGCGATTTTTGGTAGTCTTGTTTCTGGCATTCTTTGAACATACCATATAAGTTGTTTCCTTTCTATGTCTGTTGCCAGTGATCCATCTACCCCCATCCGATTCCTTATTTCATCGTTTCTAATTCTGTCTGCCCTAGATATTCGAAGTGATCGTCTAAATACATCCATTTCTGTTGCTTCGAGTTTTCTTTTATTGCTTTTTGTTAGTCTCCATGTCTCTGTACCATAGGTTAAGCTGGTTTTTATGGGAGATTCGTATATATTGTATTTTCGTCTTTTACCAATTTCTGAGCTCAAAAGAAATCCGTTAAGGCATCCAATTGTTCTACGAGCCTGGGTTATTCGTCTTCTAATTTCCCTATTGTCTGTGCCTGTGGTGTCGAAATCAATTCCTAGGTAGGTATATTCAGTGCAGAATGCAATTTCGGTTATGTCCATCTGAATGTTGGATAGTTCTACGCCTATTGGGAGATATTTTGTTTTTTGTGTATTGAGTTCTAAACCCCACTTTTTGTATTCTTCCTGTAGTTTTCTGGCCATATATATCAGGTCTTCTTTATCGTTGGCTATAAGGACTTGATAGTCTCCAAACTGTAGGGTATATAGGCAATGCCCATTCCTCTGCATTTTCTCTTCCACTGATACAGTGCTTTCGCCACATAGATTTTAAACAATGTGGGGGATATGCAACACCCCTGCCGGAGTCCCTTGTTTACAGGAATTTTTTTTTAAAGTCTATTTCCAATTTTTATTCCCGACGTTGATCCTTC